AATTTCTGCGTAGCATCAGTTCCGTACCCGATTATTGGGGCCGACCTGATTGCACATTATGGTCTCCTTCCGGACCTTAAAGGTCGTAGACTCATTGATTCACAAAATAATGTGTACGTGTCGGGCATTGTTAAATCTGTACCACAGCTTGCCATTAGCACAGTCAAACCCAGTACGAAATTCGCGAGTATCTTATCTGAATTATTATTAAGATCGTTTCGAAGATGCGAATATGCATAAAAAATTTATTAAATTGGCTAGCAATTTAATAAATTTTTTATGCATATTCGCATCTTCGAAACGATCTTAATAATAATTGAATAACATATTAAAATCTGTAAATAATTAACAAATATAAAAAGAAGAGCATAAGGAACCACAGCACAAATTATAGTTTGTGATATTTAATTATTATTACATCAAAACATGATTACTCTCAATACTTCCTTCTTGTATCATTAATTTAACGTCTAGAAAATTAATGCCGTTTTCATCGCCAAAGTCAACTGTAAATCTAAGTCTATCATGATATGAATTAAATAATTCCAGAACTCCTTCAATCTTTTCTTTATGTACAGCTAACACAATGTCATCCATAAAAATGTCAAAAATAAAAAGACGAGATAATATTATTCGCAGTAATAATTTCTTATTCTAAGTCTTGTAGAAGTAGGTTCGCTAATATAGGGGATAATGGTTTTAATATAGCTTATAAACTTATGAATAAATTAAATACATTTATAAAGACAGGAAAGGATCCCTTGCTTAAGGATGACCATTGTGGAGTTGTTTACAAAATTAATTGTTTAAACTGCGAATCGTCTTATGTTGGCCAAACTAAGAGGAAATTAAAAACTCGTATAAAGGAACATAAGGCTGATATAAGAAAACCTACTTCCGAGATATCAGTGGTTTCACGTCACCGGTTGAATGAGATGCATGAATTGGATTGGGATAACATAAAAATTTTAGATACAGAACAATCATTAATGAAAAGAAGAATTTCAGAAATGATACATATAAAAGGCCAAACAAGTGATATCAATAAGCTAAGTGATACGGAAGGTTTGCCTGATGTTTATCTTCCTCTTCTAAAGAAAGATCTCTCTCGCACTTAATAAATAATTCTAGAACTTTCCAAACTGTTGATTCATATATATAAATAGTGGTAAAATATACGATATAACTAATAACACACAATGTCACGACAAATTTCTATCTGTGCAAAGAATGTATTTGAGATTCATCGTTATATTTTTTGCTGTAAAACAGGTAACGATTCTATTCCTTTATATTCCGATTAGAAGATATTAATGATATACAAATTTATTTTAAATTAGAATCTGGAGATTCTCGTTCTACACTTTTCGTGATATGACTTTTGACGTTCTAACATTAGTATACGAAGTAGATTCTCATAGAAATGAACACGTTTATATAATTATAACACACGACAGTTGAATTTTATGCCAACTTGATGTAACTCTGCGATTTAAGAATATTATTAATTTACTGAAGATGGCCAGATTGTGGCCGAAACGTTTAATGTTTTAATGTAATAATCATGTTTTGATGTAGTAATAAATATCACAAACTATAACTTGTGCTGTGGTTCCTTATGCTCTTCTTTTTATACTTATTAAATTTATAACCACGTTTGTTCCTTATGCTTTTCTTTTTATACTTATTAAATTTATAACCACGTTTGTTTTTACGATTTATGTAAATAATTAATTCTTATTGCGAAAAATATTACCTCGGCCGGAAGTCGATCTCTTGCATTCCGTACTAAGCCTTTAGATTACTGAGGCAATTTTTCGCAATAAAAATTAATTATTTACAAATTTTAATGTTATTTAATCATTATTAGATCGTTCCGAAGATGTGAATATGCATCAAAAATTTATTAAATTGCTAGTCAATTTAACTTGTGATATTACTGCGATAGTTTAGTAGAATTAGCGTTTTTTCAAGATCGAAAAATCATTTCGGCGCGCGTTTTTGGGGACTACATACATAGTATATAAATTCACACAAGAATCATACAAGCATTTAATATTTAGCTAGACCGTTTAAGGCTTTGATTTCTATTATTTATAAATTTTTCATGAGCCATACATATCTCCCCTTCCCCTATGAGTAGTCGTATATTCCACTCCTATGGGAAATACGGCAAGAGTTTCAAAAAGGTTTTTTTTTTAATACGAAAAATAAGTATTTCTGATTTCTAATAATTTTTTCATAATAATAGACAGTACAAAGTTTTGTAGAATAGTAATCTTATTCACATGAGATTAGTTATTACGAGAGATTATCTGGTCGTTAGTATTTATGAGATTGGCAGCGCTGAGAACGAGGAGGCGCTACTACTAATCCCTAGGTTTTTGGCGCGCAGAAGGTAGAGTGAAGACAGAAGTAGAATCATCTTTGTCATGATCGCGTGCACACGATACATCGTTAGCGCGAATATTATATTACTAAGTTAACTAATTACTAAATTTATTTGATATTACTAAGTTATATAATCTATAGTCAATAATAAACCAAGTTATAACAATCTGGTAGCAGAACTCTGTGGTTTATTAAGTCTATAGAAAAATAAGAGGAAATGAAAACACGTATAGGTTTATAGGTTATATAGACACATAACCAGTTACGATCTATCCCGCTTAAGAGATAAGCACGTTGTCGATAATTTCATTAACAGGATCTAATTGCTTAGTTTGGGCAATGAAGATGGAAGCTATTCTGAGCTTGGAGAAACTGAATAAAATAATAATTCAAGAAAAGAAGAAGACGCCGAACAGGAAGTGAAGACCGAATGGGAAACAAAGAATAAAGAAGCAGTGGTATATATTGTATATATTTGTATTTGTCGGACGAGCAAACACTACAGTTTGCAACGGAAAAAGAAGTGAGACATTGTGGCTCAAAATTAGAAACGCTGGAGCGGTAGAGAATCAAAAAATCGATGCGAGCAAAGATTTGAAATTTTTTCACATGGGAGATAATGAAATGGTAAGCGACTATTGCACGCGCACGCGGTCTAGCTACGAAATGTACATCATTAGGCGTGATACCATGAAAATTAGTGTATTACACGGTACATGGAATAAACCATTTATATGTTATTAATTAACCGTTCTAATTTATCAATTGTTCTCATACAATCGTACGGTCTAAAATAAGATTCTTATTGTTTTTATATTATTGTTATTAAATGTTATCTATTAAGTGATAATAAATATTGATGAAGTACGAGATTTGACTAATGCATTCAGCAACTCTCCCCTAAATTTACAATTTAACAAAATCTCTATATTTTGTTTTAAATTTTGAAAAGTGGATTTCTTTCACGCATTTCAAAAGATTGACTTCACTAAAAAAAATTCGCTCTGACATGAATGAATCTTCCATGGAAAATAAATACATTTAAAGCAAGAAATTCTACATATACGTATTTCTGCACGTTTTACTTAGTTATTTAATTTTCTCTCGTTTTGAGAGACACTGCTTTAGTTGTTATATCTTATCTTGAAGGAGTTAGATAAAAAAATAAAGATATATATCTTGATACATATCGATTAGACATATATTTATATATCGTCATATAATTCACACAGAATTCATTAGTTGTATGCACGAAATCCTATTTGACTGTAATTAAATAATGTGGCTATAAAAGAAGAAAAATTCGTTTATTTTACAACAGTAGGTCATAGAACAAGTGTCCAAGAAGTATTCAAACTTAAGCATTCGTGTCGACGAATTATTAGTAAGTGTAACAAATAATTGCTATGATAATTATCATTTTGCAAACTTTATAACAATACGGTAACAAAAATTAAAATAATTAAATTAAGTATTACTATTTCAAGGTGTCTCAAAATATACGCATACATGATAGAAGATATGAGAGGTATCTTGTAATCATTTTAGAAATAATTTATATTGTTCAAATGTTTCAGTATATTCTTCATTGATAAAATTTTCAATTTTAATATAAAAAATAAAATATGAATATAGTTTGTATGCATTATTTTTTCTAATTTATTATTTTCGTACATTTTTACTGAAATTAGAAAAAGGAACTTATTTTTTCTCAAATTTTGACTTTTTTTCAAGCTTAGACCAAGAAAATCTCTTAAACCAAAAGATCACTGTAGTGATTTTGTTACCCATAGCGATAAGTAAAGAAAGAGAATAAGCTTTTATTTCATGTAAAACATAAAAAAAATATATGTATATTCAAGCTCGATCTCGGTCGCTTGAAGGGGAGATGGGATTTTCAAAATGTTGCAGATTTTTGAATATTTTTACTAAAAGCGACAAAGTTGAATGTTATTGCAATCGATTAATACCCTTATTTCAAGACTGAAACTCCCAGAAGGGGAGGAAATCTCTCAGATGGGTGCAAGAGGTCGCTAGTCAAAGTAAATTTTGATAATAAATTTTTTCTGAAAAAAATCGATAGCGTTGAATTTTGTCTACTACTTAATTTTGATATCAATTATCAAAAAATATGATTTCCATATCTTTTGGATGATCACGTAATCATGTCTACTCGACACATACAATTTTTTTATTCCATATATGTTGACAAGATTAATATCGGAAGGGTAACTTTTTTACGATAGTAGAAGTAATTACGGAATTTCATTCCCATACTGATAGAGTGTAAAAGCAAGTGTAAAACGCCGAGAAAATTCAATGAAATTGGAGGGACGCAATAATTTCGTCGAGGCCGTTTGCTCTGCGACACATGCGCGCAATTGTGCATACGATGATTGTGTAACAGCATAGAGATATCACAGGCGTCTTAAATGCCTCGCCATCTGAATTTGCAGGAATATCGGGACATGTTCAAGACGCATGTTCCTTTCTAAATATTCGTTATGACTAATGGTCGAAAAACAATAATATAAATTTAATAATGAACTTTTAAACTAGATTTAAACTAAACGTATAATTTATAAGTAAAAACTTAATAATTCATAAATATTGGGTCATTTAAAAAGTATCCGCGGTTTTTTGTTCAATTTTTGAATGAAATTTTTCTTTATTGAAAATCAATTTTAATCAAGTATATATTGGCCATTATTATCTATAACCTTTTGCCATTTTTCGGGTAATTTCATAATTCCATCCGTGTAGAACTTTTGTGGTTTATCGGCGAAAAACTTTTTCAAGTGATTTTCGGCAGCTCTTTTGTCGGCCAATGTTTTTCCATCAAAAAAGTTCTGCAGAGATCGAAACAAATGGTAGTCAGACGGTGCAAGGTCCGGGCTATACGGTGGATGCAACAAAACTTCCCAACCAATTTTCCTCCCTCAATTTTTGGTGCATCATTAAAGATGTGTGTGGTCTGGCGTTGTCATGATGGAAGACAACACCTTTTCTGTTAATCAATTCTGGTCGTTTTTCCTTAATCGCTTCCTGTAATCTATCCAGTTGTGAACAGTAGAGCTCTGAATTAATCGTTAGGCCATGTGGTAACACCTCATGATGGACGACTCCCTTCCAATCCCATCATACACACAGCATCACCTTATTTGCCATCAATCCAGGCTTTGAAGTCGTTTGTGGTGGTTCGCCGCGCTTATTCCACGATCTTTTACGAACAATATTCTTGTATTTCACCCATTTTTCATCGCCTGTGATGATTTGCTTCAGAAATGGGTCGATTTCGTTGCATTTTAGTAGTATTTCGCTGATGGAAATTCGATCAATCAAATTTCTTTGCGTTAATTCATGTGGCACCCAAACATCGAGATTCTTTAGCCAGCCTTTTTCAAATGATTCCAAACTGTCATATGGTTGATTCTTAGTGCATTGGCTACCTCCTGACAGCTCACATGCCGGTCTTGCTTGACCAGTTGCAAAATTTCGTCGACTTTTTGTGACTGGCCGACCAGAGCGAGGTCGATCTTTGACATCAAAATTTCCAGAACGAAATCGAACAACTCCTGCGTCCTGCGTTCACTTACAGCATCCGCGCCGTAAACTTCATAAATTTGTCTGCATGTTTGTGCTGCGTTTTTGTAGTAAAAAAGCATCATATAGCGTATTTCTTCAGATATTTCATTCATTTTCAAACCAATATAACTTTAGACACGATTGATGAATCACCAAACTTTGTTTACAAATAATGTAACCTAAAATGTCATCTTTCAGACGCGCGTTCGTTTGACACAATCGGATTAGTGTTGCCCGATATATGACCATCAATACCATCTAGTGACAAAAAACCGCGGATACTTTTTAAATGACCCAATATTTTATCGAGGGTAAAACTCAATGTAATCATGGGGCAGAGTCCTCGACATCATTATAAAATTCATATGAAATCTTTTTATATAATCCGATAATTACATATGCACTAGAAATCATTATATAATATTAAATGAAATCATGTATTTTACCAAATAACTTTATATGTAGTGAAAACAATTGTTATTTCTAATCAGATGAAATTATATAAAATCAAATGAAATCATGTAATCTGTGGGACAATGTTTCAGCTAATGGTTACTTTCTCGTATTTTATAAATAACGTAACTCGTTTTTTATAAGTAGTATTATTTTTTTTTACAACAATAAAATCATAATTAGACAACATTATGCAATTCTTTCTCATTTTCTCAAATTTTTTTTTATAAAAGAACAATGTAAACAATTTTCTTTTCAATTTTCTTTTTCTTTTTTTTTTAATTTTTAATAAATTATATGTTTGTTTAAGTTATATTTATAAATTATTAAGTTTAGATTAAGTCTAGTTGAAATATAATTCAATTTCAAATGTTTTATAAATTAAATTAGTTCAATTCTAAATTTACATTATCATTTTTCGAATAACTATTAGTCATAATGCATGAATATTTAGAAAGGAACGCACCTGGATTCTCTTACAAATTCAGATGGCTAGGCATTTATGATACGTGTATACGTATTGGAATTATTTGGAATTATTTTCTAAGTAATTATTTATTAAAATATTCCCATCTCAAATCTTAATAAAAATGTATTCGTTCGACGTGTATTTACTTACAATGAAACAATCTGACAAAAAAACGATCTGCCTCATAAAACAAATTATTAAGCGTTAATGCTAGAGACTTAGATTAAGAATTTTTATTGTTTAAAATTAATTAAAAAATTTAAGTTAAAAAATTATTAACGTATTTATAAATCTTAAAAATGTGTTTATTTAAATGTGTTTATTTCCTTTCTCTCATATCTATTTCATAAAAGTCTTTTTACTAACCCATAGTGCAAAGAAAAGAAAATCGGAGAAAAAAGTTAACTGATAATGGAAAGTATGGATTGGAACGAACACAAAAATTATCAAAATTATCAAATTAATTATTTATTTTCTTGATAAATGTTTGTGCCAACTCTTTATTTAAATCTTAATACTTATCAATTTTTTGAATAAAACTTCATTCCTATAATTATATATATACAATTTAGCAATTTTATATGATTAAAAAATGAATGTTATTATATAGTATATACATATATACAATACACACACACACACACACACACACACACACACACACACATGTACGTATGTATTAAATAATCGAATGAGTTTTCTTTCGCACATTTCAATTTTAACAACTCTTTTTTTGTCGTTCGATTCTTCATAAAAAATATTGATATAATTTGATGATAAAGTTTTTCATAAGTTTGACATTTTAATAAAATAAACGAATTTTTCTAGAATATCAATAATTTCAAATGTAACTTTTTTAATAAATAATAAGTAATAATAAGATAGGAAACAAGACCGTTTATGTTAAATAACATTACTTTAAAATCCGAAGCGCCACTACGGTGAGTATCTGAGTATCATTTTTTTTAATATATATATATATATACGAGGGGTATCCAGAAAATAAGTTCCGTTTTTTTTTTACAAATAAAGTTTTTATTGAAAAAATCTAAAATTTACATGGATAATACTTGACAACTTCTAGTCTTTTTCTACATAATTCCCGTCAATCTCAATACATTTTGTATATCTGGAAACAAGCTTCGATATCCCTTCTGCATAGAAACTTCCCGCCAGTTCTTTAGTCCAGTTAGTTACAGCTGTCTGAACTTCCTTGTCGCTTAAACGACGATTTAGTTAAACGAGATCATTGCGAATCGCATTTATATATATATATATATTTATGTATATGTATATGTATGTGTGTGTGTGTGTATGTGTATATATATGTATATATATATATATATATATATACAATATATATACAATATATATATACACACACACACACACACACACACATACGCGAGGACAAGTCAATAAGTTCTTACAAAATCTGTCAGAGGGCACTCGCAGTGTCATATCACATTACTTTTTGACAAGTAGCGTCTTTCAGCTGATTAGTGTCAAATTTTGAACGGAATTCATCGCGTGATTTCATTTTTGTAGATGATTAAAGCGAACAATCTTTGTATTTTTTGCAAAATGGAAAAAAACGAATTTCGTTCAATGATCAAACATCGACATATGAAAGGTTTAACGCCGAAAAAAATCAAAGCCGAGTTGGATAATGTTCATAGCACATCTGCATCAGCATTTGCGACTGTATACAATTGGGTGAATGAATTTAAACGTGGTCGTATATCCACATGTGATGTACCTCGTTCGGAATGTCCAAGGTTGAGACTGCTACGCCAGAAATCATTGATAAAGTCCACGATATTGTCTTGATTGATCGACGAATGAAAATGCGCGAGCTTGTTGAGGCCACAGGCATA